AAATTCACGAGCTGTAGGTTGATTGCTGTGGGTTTGTAGTTGAAAACTTGCCATTGGTAGCTGCAGACATCCATTCAGTTTGGGCAAGGCCCTCGATCTGGATCTGTAACTGAACCAAACTCTTTCCCTTCTCTCTGCCTGGCAGCTTTCCTCCTCCTCCCTAGGAATTGTGGGTGTAGAGTCCCGCTGCTCTCAGAGGGGCTCGGGGGGGGGGTCCTGCCAGCTCCAAAAAGGGGTTGTCCTGAGGCAGGACCCAGACCCTTGAGTAAGGACCAGGAGGCAGAATGGGATGGGAGCACATGAAGCTCCCAGGTAGAGGCCCCTGCTCTGCAGTAAGGACAGGCTGCCTGGAGAGGGGTTGATCAATGAGGGCAGAGGGTGGAAGAAAACCTGGAGCCAGTCACAGCTCTGAAAAGCCGATCGACCTCTTCCCACAAACTGTCACAGCATTACAACATTTTCTAGGACCAATACTGTGAAAGACTTGAACAGCTCTGGTTTGTAAGCAGTTTCCAAAACTTATTTGGAAATTTACTCCAGAAATCTATTCTAGATGGACATTACGTATGTACACACTCATAAAACCAATGCAGTGTCCAAAATCTTCCCAGCTCCCTTGAAAGAAATTATCCCTAACTTGCTCTTCACTGCAGCTTGCTTCTTAATATTGAACTGATGTTAACCTCCTGAAATGAGTTTCATGCTGAGAGTAGTCTTCATCCAGCTGCCTGGACCATTAAATCCTGTTAGGGTTTATCAGCATTAAGCCTGCTAAAATACATTCTATTCTTGTATTCTCTAACCACATGCTCTTTTTCTGATTGCTGAAGTTAATTCATTTCAGTTTGTCTCATACATGGCTCAGGAATCAGAAGCCTAACCCTCCAGACATCGCGTGGCTTTGAACTGCGCCTCTCACTGAGCAAGGTTATTAACAAATACTCTAAATCCAGAATGCACGATAGCAATTTTGATCAGCAGTATTGTACAGAGCCAGCAAAGCCTACAATGTAATTCACCTTGAAGAGGAGGAGCTGGAAGGCATTTGGTTTAATGAACAAGGATGGGAGTCAGGGGCTGGGAAGACGCCTGGCTCTGTCTCAGAAGTGCCACAATCAGCTCGCTGGAAGCATCACAGAATCTGAAACCTTTCCATGTTTTTGGGTACCTAGCACAGATTAGGGAGGACTTGGAGGGCACAGGATTAGGGAGGACGTAGGCACTTGGACTTGAAAAAAATGGCCTGCCCTGCAGCCCTCTGAGCAGGCAAACACGAGATAGATACATACTCATTTACTCTGTTTCAGATGTTTAATCCGGAGATACACAGACAGCTTTGAGAAATTCAAATGCGCTACAACAAAGGCTTCTTGGGGTGGGAATAACGCCACAGAAGGATTTGGGTTGTGAGCAGAGGTCTGCTGCCAAATTACCAGCCATCAGGTCCGCAGGGCTGGATGATGAGGGCGAGTCTGGAGGAGTTTTCACTGGGCAGAAGTGTCCTTCACAGCAGTGGTGGGGAGCGGAGCTGGCTGGGTGTTTTCTGGCAACCAGTTTGGGGACTGGCTGTGATTTTAACACCCAGCTCTACAGAAATCAGCCCTGTCACCAGGTAAGAACGGTGACTAGTCCTTTATTTTTTAAACGTTCTGGGCAGGACCTTTGCTATCCAATGTGTTTATTGAAAAGCTGGGAATACTAGCACTGTAAAATAGATACCACTGCAGTTAATATTTGACGTATGATTGCATTAACAAGGCATATCAAGTGAAAGGACTTTGCGAAATACCGTAAAACTGGTAGTTCTGCCTTACTGACGGCAAAACCCAGCATTGCTTGCTTCTACTTCTGTACGCTTTCACGTTTAACTGCTGGAAACGAAGTTTTCGAGACTGCAGCAATAGCCTGAGTTTTACCTTTGACAGCTGAGAAAATACCGATCGATTTAAGTTTTGTTTTCTGTCCTTTCTTTCAGAGGTTGTTCCTGCGCCGGGCAGGGCCGGGAGGATCCGCAGCGGCGCCGGGCGGCCCCGCGGGCG